GCATCAAACAAAAACTGATCCCATGGCAGCGCGAACGGGACGGCGAGATCTGCGTCACTGCATTACCGACCCGAGCGAAACAGCACGTTAAGTTTCAACGGCAGCGCGAACGAGACGGCGAGATCCGCGTCACTGCATTACCGACCCGAACGAAACAGCACGTTAAGTTTCAACGGCAGCGCGAACGAGACGGCGAGATCCGCGTCATGCATTACCGACCCGAACGAAACAGCACGTTAAGTTTCAACGGCAGCGCGAACGAGACGGCGAGATCCGCGTCACTGCATTACCGACCCGAACGAAACAGCACGTTAAGTTTCAACGGCAGCGCGAACGAGACGGCGAGATCCGCGTCACTGCATTACCGACCCGAACGAAACAGCACGTTAAGTTTTAACGGCAGCGCGAACGAGACGGCGAGATCCGCGTCACTGCACTACCGACCAATCACGCGACCAGTACTCGACGTCACTACCGAGTAAGATTCAAAACAAACAGCAATTCTTATGAAAAAGTATATTTTATAGTACTTACGAATGAAAAGTGATGCCGTGGGTTTTATTTTTAGATCTTGAGCAATTTGAGCACTTTTTAAAAACACACTTAAGCATTGTTTTATCATATAAACACAAAATATTAGCAATATTTCTTTTTGGCGTTCACATGTACGTCGTTTGCATGTCAAGTTGTGACTGAAGCGATTAGGATCGTGGACCACAATTCATGCGGATCACTTTTGTGAGGCTAGTGCCGTATCTACCCTTTTTGTTTTAATCTAAGGGAGAAATAGTGACAGAATTAATTTTCGACAGTTCAGTGGGTGGTGCAATTACTAATTTTGGTATGCGTTATAATTTTTTTCAGCTTTCTTTTGTAGCTGTTACCAACTACGTTTGAATATGTTTGAAAACACCAAAATGCGGAAAACTAAAATATTCCAAGTTTCACAGCTCTTAATAAAGGAAAACCATTCTTGAAAAACATCCATTTCCCAAATTAGTCTAATGCAATGCAAATAAGCGCGAGCGAAATTCCAACTCCGCAGACACAGTTACTTCGAAACAATCGTTCCGAATTCAAATTCATTCCTTCGTGTATAACGCGGCCAATTCACGGAGTACCCTAATGAGGTGTAAGCTATTGGAGCGGTGCGTGCGTGCGACCGCGGCCGCGGTATCGATCGCGTCGCATTGCGACGGCACGCGATGTTCTAACAGCTGATTTCCAAACACGTTCCTTATTTAAATCACTCCTATTTTATAACATAATTTCAAAATTGAACACCACAATTTTTGGCTATTGAAAATTTTACAGGTAAAAAAATCGTGATGTCTATGTACACCATACATTTTTGAAATGAAACTTCTTTACGCACGCTTGACTTCTGGGGTAAACTGGTGAATGCGTTATGCGTTACGAAAAGTGTGTTCTGGCGAGGCGAACGGGAATTGAGTGGGGGATATAAGCAAGAGAAAGCAGGGCCTTGTAACCTGCTTCAAAAATACCGGTAAATAAAGGTTACTACCGGTTTTTAGTAAAAGGTTTCGTTCGGAGCGCGTCCAAAATGAAAGCGGTACCTAAAACCTTAATAAACCGGTTTAATCCAGAGCGACACGTGCACGCGTCGGCATCGCTTGAATTTTGTTTTGTTTGAAATAATCAAGTCACAACTTGTTAATGCTCAAAGATTGATGCATTTATTGACACATTTGCTAGCGTCTAGTGAGTCAAGTAATTCATTTTGTAGTTGTGTACTGACTTGGTAACGTGACATACTGCTTCACGCACTCGCTCTGTTATTGGAAAGAAACTGACATAAAATCATTATAAATTTGAATTGAGACGGCGAAGGCGATGCCGTCAGTAAGAGCGAAATGAAACCCTTTAAAAACCGCTAAATTGATTCAAACCCTATTCGATTTCGCTTTTTAGGAAAACCGGGTTTTTCAAGGTTAAGGTAGAGCCAAACCTTAATAAAACGCTCCTAATGTACTTGATACTGATGTAGGTTTGAAAATTAACCGGTAAACAAGCCCTGAGAGAAAGCAGTGCGCGCGCACATTTTCTTTCTCTCTTTCTCTTATATCTAGTAAATGAAATATGTATATGTACATACATGTATATATTGTACACACATATATATATATATATACAGATGGAACTAAAGAAGTTTCACTTCAGTCGTGTGGTCATTTTTTGGGTAACACTGTTACTCACTTATTATTGAATGAATAATAAGCTTGGATTAGTTACTCCATGTTTTGTCTCTGTTCATCGAACGACTAATGGCATTTGAGTGATATTGGCAGAACACGGCGAATTTTCGAAAAGCTCGTATCAGAAGAAACAACCTTTCTCTAAAAAAAATTTTAACATTCATTACCTTTTGTTGATGTTTGTTGGTTTTAAGAATTGCTTACTTGAGAATGGATATTATACTGTCAATCAATATTTGAATGATAAAACGGCTTGGTTGTAATTTTACCTGTAGATAATTTTTCAAAAGTTATATTAAAACTAAGGCTCCCAGCCTTTGAAAGAGTTTTGAAGAGAACCTTGCACTTACTCCCTTTCATATACTTGTTCATTTTGTTTTGAAAATTGTTGTTGTCTTGCTATTTTGGGACTTTTCTTTGCACTTATTGTTAGTAAATTCGTTGATTGTCTATTGTTACATATTTGACATTATGTGATGGAAGTTGACCTCAACACATGTTTGCAAGTTTGATATCAACTTTCATTTGGACGACACTGTATGTAATAATACAGGGAGAAAAAAGCAGCCCTTGCTGAGTTTCTTGCCGGTTCTTCTCAGTACAAGGTCTCCCGCCGTAGATTTGCGAACCGATGGCGTAACTTTTCGACATACACAAGTGCTTGTAACAACCTAGACTGAATAAACGATATTGAATTTTTGAATTTTTTTATTTCTGTCGAAGAGAAAGATTTTCAGGAAAGGGCAGAGAAGGCGCAAATGAGACTTTTGTACCGCAAGCATCTCAAGGCTTACCATGACCGCTTACCATCAAGCGTAGCCATATAAGCGATATACGCTTGTTTGACCATCTACCCCCACGACAACGGCTAACTAGAGCTGAGGTCCAAGTCTCAGAGACGCCCTCTAGTTGGGCCGACCCCCTTAGGTTCAAGTGGTCTAGAGGCTCCAGACGGAGAGGAGACTCCCCTCTTGGAATGCCCCTAGAGACACTCACTGTAAAGCTCATCTGCGACCAACGCATATCCGACAAGTCCGTCTGTCTGTGGTGCTGTTTCAGTGGCCAAACCGTAAGAGATAGATAAAGAGAATATTTAAGTTATAAGTTAAGAATAGTCTGATAAGACTACAAACCGGATTTGAGTAACGTAGCACTTCCGGTTTTCGAGAAATCAGGTTTTGGTGAACATTTGGTTCACTGGTTTGCTAGTATAGGTAATATAAAAGCATACACACACAAAAAAAGAAAAAAATCGTCTTACATAACTAAATATTTAGTACATTTAGTTGGTATAATGTTTATTTTTTAAGCATTTAACTGCTTGATGTTTAAATCTAAAAAAAAATAACTAGAAAAAAATCCATACGGACCAGGCAGCAGACGGAACTCGAACCCGCACCTTTTTTTCTAATTATATTTTCTTTAGATTTAAACATCAAGCAGTTAAATGCTTAAAAAATAAACATTATAACTATAATTGCTATTTCTTCTTTCAAATGTTTAATACTTGTAAAAGTATTAATTTGACATTGTGGGTTACCTACAATGCGAAGAAATGGCGCTGCCTTGCAACTTAAGAATTACGACGCGGCCGTCAGAGCCGCGGTAGCATAATTGGTCAGTGCATTCGCCCGGATAGCGAAGGGTGCGGGTTCGAGTCCCGTCTGCTGCCTGGCCCGTGTGGTTTTTTTTTCTAGTTATATTTTCTTTAGATTTATACTCTTAGTTGGTTCAATTTTTTTTAACTGCAGTGTAGCAAAAACTCCATAAGATTTCAATCCACAGGAATTAATTCTACATTCATTAATCGACAAAAAGTGACTGTCACATTTGATCAAACAATTTTTAGTATAATTTAAAGGCGCAAGAAACCAGAAATTAATGGCATTGAAATCGATAATCTGCCTTGTTCCAATATCCGAAGCCTTAAACATTTACCTTGTCTCGCTTCGGGCTATTAAGCCTTTTGTTTTACGCTAAGCTGTGTGATCGTTAACTGTCGCAACTTCACTGCTAAATTATTTACTCGCTTATCTATTCACAACCGATTTTATTCTATACTCTGTGGTCTTCTTCTTTTTCTTTTTTTATGGCATGCACGGTTTGTGCGTTCAGCCAATGTCAAGTAAAAATTGAGGAAACAGTATAGGAAAAAAGGAATCGGAAATATTACGAAATTTGGAAAGGATCAGGATTGTAGAAAATATACATTTAAAGTTTAAATACTCTGTGGTCGTTATCGAAACTTTATGATCCGGTTTTTTTATTTTATTTATTGGCAATGGATACATTATCCTTATGCCTTATCTGGAATAATAAAACTAATGAGTTGCCTGTATCTAGACTCGGTTACCCCAAAAAGTGGAAAAAGGTTGCAAACAAGCATATGGCCCGCCTGGTGGTAAGCGGCCACCATATCCTGCGATACAAAAAAGAAACGACGGGTTGCACTCCGGGAGTGCCGGCAGAAGTGAAAACGTGAATATTAACGTTGTGCGTTTTTGATATTTTGGAATGGTTAGGGAATAATTTTGCACAATTTTCTTTAATTATCAGTAGAAAAGTACTATCATTTATGTGGTATAATACAATATTTATTTATTGTGCTGTCGTACACAAACATGACAATTTATATTACATTAAAAAGTTTATCTCTCATAATTTCTCATTTAAGCGCACCTAGCGACGTCTATTGTGAAAATATGCATTTTCTTTGCAATAAAGCTGCCACCTGAACGTCCTAGATACAAACTTATTGTTATAATACGATAAAATAAATATTACTGGGTGTGGTCGCCAAAAATTGTACAAATATTAGTTTCGTTTTGTCCCCATTTTATTTTTCACATAATTTCAAAGTGATTTGATAAATGACATTTGTTGTATTTTATTCTGAATGACGAGCTTCTGTTTAGATTATTTACACGAAATGTAACCTACCCATCCCTAAAAATATATGTAAAAAAAATATAATTTGAAAGGTACTGCTTTCACTTCCATACAAAAATTGTTTGTCCAACTACTACTTTTGTATCAAAAATTGCCAACAGTACCGAAACAAAATAGTTTTTTCTAATTATTAAATTGTACTCATGCTTTATGATACTTTCTCAACGTATTTCTAAACGTGCTTATAAAAATAGCGTTTCAGTTAAAAATTTAATCGTTTTTAAAAAAGTGTCCAATTTTATGATGAGTGTGTAACGTCATGAATGTAACGGTTGTTTCTACCATTTGCCTATCTGCGATTTGGTATTTAGTGCTATTTTTATAAATGGCAACACTATTGACCAAGACACCAACATTCAGAAATAAAATTCGGCCATATTTGTCGGAACGAAATCGTGATTTGTGTTGACTTCAGATTTGTCGCCAAAAAATATTGTTTTTTGTGTGTTCGATTGCAAGGTAAGTACTGCTTGTTATGGTATACTGTTAACGTGTTTAGAAAGGTGTATTATCACAGAAAACGGTAACCCTACGTCACAATCCATAGTTGTTTGCAATTAAATGATATTTGAACTTTAGGTTATGTCGCACGCTTTTTTATGTCATGAATGTTACAATGTGTAACGAAATGTGTAACGTTACAATCATGACCGACTCTAAGGCGGAGATTACACTACTTTACATAAAATATAAACTTACCGCGACTTCGTCTGAGTTAACAGTGGTTACAATTTTTATTTAAGCATGTAACTGCTTGATGTTCAAATCTAAAGAAAATATAACTACTTTTTTTTTCTAGTTATATTTTCTTTAGATTTAAAAATCAAGCAGGTACATGTTTAAAAAATAAAAATTATAAGTATAATTGCAATTTCTTCTTTCAAATGTTTAATACTTGTAAAAGTATTCATTTGACATTGTGGGTTACCTATAATGCGAAGAGATGGCGCTGCCTTGCAGCTTAATGGCTAGAAGAATTTCGACGCGGCCGTTAGGGCCGCGGTAGCATAATTGGTCAGTGCATTCGCCCGGATAGCGAAGGATGCGGGTTCAAGTCCCGTCTGCAGCCTGGTCCGCGAGGATTTTTTTCTAGTTATATTTTCTTTCGATTGAACTGTTGTTTTTTGAGAATTCTTCGAAAGTTTGTATGTTTGTATGTTCGTTACTAAATCACGCAAAAACGGCTGAACGGATTTGGATGAAATGTGGCGCTCATAAAATGTGTATACATACTATACTGAGTAACGAACATACACATTTTCACATTTATAAGATTAGTAGGATTAAATTCGTTAAAAACAAATATTCCAGATGCCTTTGACCAATGCCGAAAGGCAAAAAAAATATCGTGAAAAGTTAAGAACTCAAAATCCTTTGAAGTACCAAGATATAAAATTAAAAAATGCAGAGAGAAATAAAAAAAGAAAGAAAATCACGGAATGTACCGAAGAAAATAAAATATTGAAAAGGAAACAGTGGCGAGCCAGTCAAAATCGTAGCAGAATAAAATCAAAAGATACTGCGAACATTAATAGTATTACTGAGGATAATAGTGCAGAAATTCATGAAAACACATTCTTGCTACGAAAATTACAAAGAAGATGGGCTAACCAAAGAATATCATATGAAGAAAAAATAAATAAAATGGCGAAAGAAGTTAATTCGTTGAAAAAGAAGTGTAATCGCTACATGTACAAAAATAAAAAATTGGTTACGCTTGTTGACGAGCTAAAATTGAAAGTAAATAAATACCAGATTATTGTTCAAAATGAGAAAGAAATGACACCATTAACCAAATCTAACAGTTTTATTGAACAAAACCTGCCGAACATTTCTCTAGAAGAAAAGGAAAAAGTGAAGAGACAGCTTTTAACTCATCATGTTTTAGTGAATGCTATTCAAGATACATATGAGAATACCCAGAATAATAAAGAACGAAGTACACTTAAAACAATACTTGGGAACAAATGCATAAAAAAATATAACAGGAAGAGCGAGATAACGACATCTGTATTTGGACTAAAAGGAAGGGCTCGTCAACAGAAAACAACTATTAGGAAGAACAACATTATTATTAGTAAAATTATTAAATTCTATAACAGAGACGATGTAAGTCGAGCAACTGCTGGAAGAAAAGAATTCAAGACTAAAGGTAAAATTAAAATACAAAGACGATACTTGCTAAATACCTTAAAGGAGCTTTATAAAAAGTACAGAGCGGAAGGAGGTACAGCAAAATTGACTGCATTCAAGAAGTACAGACCCTTTTATGTTTTACAACCGAAACTTTCTAATCGAGAAACATGTGGGTGCATAAAGCACGAAAACTTCTCTATGAAAATTGCGAAGTTAAATTCTTTAGGAATGATCGAGACTACGAGTTTAAATGAAATTTTGTTGAACATCGTATGTGACTTGGATTCTAAAGCATGCGCCTATGATGAATGTTCCACATGTATTAATAAATGTATGAAATTTGACGAAGACAATCCGGGCATTAATGACATTGTTACTTGGAACGAATTTTCTATGCAGACACATGAATATATTAACAAAAGTGATGGTAAAACTATGACTACTAAAAAGATGGTGAAAAGAGATATTCAAGACAAATTGATGACACTGACAGAATCCTTTAATCAGGAACTTAAAGTAATGAAAAAACACGCTTTTAATATAAAACACCAATACACACAATATTTGTTATGTATCAAAAACTTAAAGTTCACTGAAGTGGCCATTCACATCGACTTCAGCGAAAATTATGCTTGTAAATTTGCAACTGAAGTGCAATCCATGCACTTTGGTGCATCAAAATCACAGGTGACTATCCATACAGGCGTTTTGTACGCCAAAGAAAAAAAGTCTCAGTCTTTCGCGTCAATATCGGCCTCTAATGAACACGGCCCTGAGGCGATTTGGGCACATTTAAATCCCATATTAATTCATGTAAGAAACAAATATCCGCTCGTTAATGCAGTGCATTTCTTCTCCGATGGACCAGCGACACAATATAAACAAAAAAAGAACTTTTTTTTGTTTACAAAGTTTACAGTGAACATGGGATTCCCCCTTTCAACATGGAACTTCAGTGAGTCTGCTCATGGAAAGGGAGCTGCGGACGGAGTTGGAGGGGGACTTAAACGAAGACTAGACGATAACGTCAAACACGGCATTGACATACCAGATGCATACACGGCCTATACATGTCTTAAAAACTCTGACTCAATTGTAATGACTTTTTATGTCAATGAGGCTGATATTGCTGAATATTCAGTCGAAGAAAATCTGATTCCTGTTCCTCATACAATGAACTTACACCAAATAAGTAATAGTGAAACTAATAATGAAATACGGTTCAGAAGTTTAAGTTGTTTTTGTGGAGATTCACGGGGTTATTGTGAATGTTTTGACGTAAGGAAACATAGACTGGTAAAGATAAAAAAACCTAATCAATATGATATAAAACAAACAAATGAATCTCGGTTAAAAAGAAAAACAAGTGAAGATATAGACATAACTAAACTACAGAAAGGAAAAAAGAAAGCAAAAGTAACAGTTCTTTCAGAAATTAGATATCGGCCAGAGAATATGGCATATGAAAATTTGAACGACTTTGAACCATTACGAATTAAAAATATGCAGAAAATCGACAAAAACTTTAACCTGTGCAATACAAAATCCTACAAGGAAAATATAAACTATGACAATCCTTTGCCATCAACTTCAGGTATACGAAAATACACTAAATGCACACAAAGCAATGTAAGATATCCCGACGAAAGTAGCTCTGATGAGGACAACGAGTATTCATTACATGATTCTTCAGAGGAAGGTTGTTATGCGGAATTCTTATCTGATGATGAAGGAGGTACCTATTTCAAAATTCTAATGTCGTTATTTGTGACCAGTACTTACCTTATATAAAAAAAAACTTTGGTTACAGAAATAGGGCCGACAACTGAAAACCAGAATCAAAAAAATGAAAATACTATCAAGAATGAAACTGAAAAACAAAATATAGAAAAAAATGCTGATGATATCCTTATTAATCCTTCTACCACAGGTAAAAAGAAAGTCTTAAAATAAATATTGTAGGTACTATTTAGCAAAAACAATATTACTGATTATATATTTACGTAATTTTGTTATTTACAGATATTAATAAAAATAACTATGAAAATGAGACTCTTTACGTGAATGTAGAAAAAATAGATCATTGTAGTCCTGCAAATAATTCTACGGAAGGTATTTTTCTTACATGAAAGTAGTCCTAACTTATATCTACGCAAGTTGTTTTATTTAGGTAAAATCTATTTTTTTATTTCCAGGAATAATATTTAAGTTTGAGAATAAACATTGCAATAGCAATGAGACTGTCACTGAAAGTTTAAAAAATAATGATAGCTTTAGCTTTGCTAATACATCAAAATCAGGTATATTTATAATTTTGTTTAATTTAAGACGCAAATAGAAACTGAGTAATAATGTTAAACATAATTTTAATTTACAGAGATTGGAAAGAATATTCAATATAGCACAGAGGCAGAAGTAAATAATGAAACCAAAGAAGTGCCAATGAATATTGATGACAGTGTAATTGTAAGATATTACACTAAAAATAAGTGGACATATTACATAGGGTTTATTGTCGAAATTGTTCATAAAGAGAATTCAACATTTTATAATATAAGGTTTTTAAAAACCATGAAAAAACCAACGCTTAAATTTATTGTTACCAGAAAAGTAGAGTATGATATTGTACCTGCAGTGTGTATAGTAAAAAAAGTTGAAATCACGTCAATAAACTCAAAAGAGTATATTTTGAAAGATGATAATAATGCTTGCTGTATTTATTTTTAAATAATTGGTACCTTAATATAGCACCTAATTAAATTACAGTTGATTTTTGTACAGATTTTGTTTTTTTTCTATAGCCAAACCTTAATCAAAAAAATATAATATCACCACCAAAGGCCTAGAACTATTTAGTACTAGTAGAACTACTATAAAAGTTTCTATTATGAACTAAGCTTTATGATGGTCATGTATGTAACATTCTGTCATGTACGTAACGTGTGTTACGATGTCATGAATGTTATTTGTACAATTTTTGGCGACCATACCCTACTATGATTCGTCCAATATATTGAAAGTCAACAAACTTTCCAATTTTATTGTTTTCGTCTTACGAATTTTCGATTGTCAGATGTCCGGATGCGATTCAAAAAAATACAAGTCTCATGCTCTACACGACTTAAAAGGGCATTGAAAATGTATCTACCTATTATTGATTATTAAAAAAATAAATTTTAACTTCTATTTTCAAAACCAAAAAAAAAAAAAATTTTTTTTTCAGAACCTACTTTTCCAGAATATTTTTACATCATCTTAATGCCTTTCGAAAGCCGCGTCTTTTGAGCTCTCATACTCATACGTCTTCTTGGTCGCACGCGAGCCGCCCGCACGCCGCGTGAAATCGCACCTCGCGCAATGCTCAAAACTCGCGGCTAAGGGCACCTGTACAGCCTCAACCGTCACCAATATCGAGAAAAGTGTAATGACCTAAAATGTGCTTTGGTTCAATACCGAGGTGCTCGTACCATAGCCTACCCAATCCTCTAACCCGTGGAGCCCTCGAAACTTACTCATATAGACAGAAATGCAACTCCACCAAAAAACCAAAAGGTATTGCTATTTTACTGTGGTCAATCATAATCAAAATCATTTATTCAGTTTAGACTGTTACAAGCACTCATGAATGTCTAGAATCTACGCCATCGGTTCGTAAATCTACGGCGGGAGACCTTGTACTGAGAAGAACCGGCAAGAAACTCAGCAAGGGCTGTTTTTACTCCCTGTTTTATTATTTACAGAGTCGTCAAATTGAAAAACGACTTCAGAGATGATTCATGAAGTCACCTTTCAATACATAATGATTAAATATACAGTAATTATGAAGTCACCTTTCATTACACAATGATTAAATATAAATTAATTAACTACTGTCTACTGTAGCGCTCCAATTCGAGCGACCAATTCGTCGCCCTACGTCGCCGTTAATTTCATAACACTGCAATGGTGTCGATTCTGGCATGATTCTCTAAACCTAAACTTAAATTTGACAACAGTGCATCCTTGTCATTATCTATACAGAATGAAAAGGAGAGACTGATATTAAATTTAGTTTTAAGTTTAGAGAATCATGCCAGAATCGACACCAATATGTACCCAAAAATTATGTATCCAAGCTGTAGCACTAACTTGTCGAATTTCTTTGAAGGTTATTAATGATTAGAGTCTGCAACTGCTTCCTTCCCAAACCTTTTATTCCAGTCGAATGCCCATCTTCATCATCATCTTCATCAGCCTATTAATGGGCGTTTGGAGGGAGTTTGGGCCATGACCCACCACGCGGGCCCAGAGCGGATTGGCGGGTGCTAACGTCTGCAGATGCAGCCGGGACCAACGGCTTAACATGCCTTCCGAAGGACGGAGAAGCTCGTGATAGAAGAGTTTTGGTCACCTATCCAATGACCGACCACTGCGAAAGTATGCCAAAAACCACCTGCGCCATCAAACTCCTCGCCCAACTTAAGTTCCAAAAGTTGTAAGAGGGAGGGAGGGAACACGTGAGCGGGCAGAGCATTCCATTTACGGATAGTGCGACAAAGAAATGAGTCACCAAATTACTTAGTACGCGTTGGAATTGAAATTTTTTATCTTAAAAACAATTGATGTGAAAGTGTGTCTGTCTGTCTGTTACCTCTTCAGGCTTAAGTCGCTAAACCGATTTACATGAGATGTGGTATATATATAGTTTGAGCCCCGTAAAAGGACATAGGATAGTTTTTATCCCCGAAATAATTCTTTAAGGGAGTGGAAAGAGGTGTGAAAGTTTGTATGGGAAACCAAACCAAAAATTCCACACAGCCGAAGTCGTGGGAGGCCACCACTACTTAAATAAAACACGATAAATAAAAATCAGGCATTGGTGTCGATTCTGGCATGATTTTCTAAACTTAAAACTAAATTTAAGATCAGTTTCTCCTTTTTATTTTGTATTTTTATAAAAAATGTCAATGATAGACTGTTGTCAAATTTAAGTTTAGGTTTAAATAATCATAGCAGAATCGACCCCATTGATTCTCGTGCAAATACCCACTGAACGTAATTTTTAGTTGGTTTCCCCATTCCCCTTCCTTGCCCTACCCTCGCCCCGACCGAAATTCGGACGAGCTTATGCGCATTGAGTCGGCAGACAACTCATTTTTTTGCGTTGTCGTGTGGCACCAACTGCCTTTTTGTATGAAACCGAATGCAGCAGAGTTTCAGCGACCGAAATTCTGCGACTCACCACTCACAAAATTACGCTCGTTTGGCCTCACCCTATAACTTTAAGTTCCCTTTACAAACTATAGTTATTTTTAAAAGCGTTCTGCCCGTAGCATTTAGTCATAATTTCCAGAGTTTTCCAAAGACAAAGTCGCAACTAGTACTAAAATAAAACACATTAATAAGACATAAGGAGGTCGATGACGCAGGTAGTTAGTGCGTTCAGCTGCAATCGTTGAAGTAAAGCAACTTTCGCAGTGGTCGGTCGTTGGATGGGTGAAGACTCGCGTTCCTCCATGCTTTGGAAGGCAAGTTAAGCGTTTGGTCCCGGCTGCATCTGCAGTCGTTAGCACGCGCCAATCCGCACTGGGCCCGCTTGGTGGGTAATGGCCCTATCTCCTTATTGCATCCATAGGCAAGACCTGTGCCCAAGCAGTGAAGACATGACAACCTCCGTGGCCGAGTGGTTTGTACGCCGGTTTCATGGTGTCGCCGACTCGAGAGGTCCCGGGTTCGAATCCCGGTGGGGGCAGCTGTTTGTGTGATGAATACGAGCATTTGTACTCCAGTTATGGATGTTTAATATGTATTTATATATAAACTAGCGGACCCGACAGACGTTGTCCTGTCTAGTATGGTAGCGGCGTCTGTCGGATCCAATGTAAAACATTCCGAAATCAACAACTACTAATAAATTAAAAATTAATTAAAAAAACATTGTCCAGCGGACAAAATTGTGAATCTAAACCATTCTCAGATCCCCTTGAACACACACAAAAAATTTCATCAAAATCGATCCAGTCGTTTAAGAGAAGTTCAGTGACATACACACTCACAGAAGAATTATATATATAAAGATATACTTATATATGTACTGTATATGTATTCTATCCGTTACCCAAATATTCCATAACACAAACCTTACACTGCTTACTTTGGAGCTAGGCTAATTGGTGTAAGTATTGGAAATATTTATTTATTTATTATTATTATTAATAGGCTGATGATGATGATGATGATAAAATAAGACATAGATTTTCGTGCAAATTCCTAATGTACCTTAGTTTCAGATGGTATAACTTTAAGTTCCGTTTGTATGCAAAAGTCTTTCTTAAAAGCAGCATCTTGTTATCATGTAAGATAGATTTTCCAGGGTTAAAGAGCTAAGTGTCGCTCTCGAGTCGACCTCGGAGCGGTTTTGTTCAAACACCGAATAGCTCCCGAGAGAGATCGCTCCATAAATTACTTTCTTTTTCCTCTAACTGTAAAGATGCGGCTAAAAATATCTTTTAGGTACCCACCTACTTAACTCATGACATTGGCATACGCTATAACGGGTCGTAAGAATATTGTTTGAGCTGGACAGATATATTTTTATGTACACCTATTTTTTTTTTCAATTATCTCAAAATAACAATCGTATGAGCACGTTTTTGTGTTGTATAATATTGTTAAGAATCAGATTGATATTTTGTTTACTATATGACAGGAATAGTATATTGAATCGCGCTATCGTTTTGTTTTTATGAAAACATAAGTATTTGATAGAGGAGCTCGATGGCGAAGCGGTTAGCGCGTTCGGCTGCGACCGTTGAACTTAAGCAACTTTCGCAGTGGTCGGTCATTGGATAGGTGACCAAAAATTACTATCTCGAGCTCCTCCGTGCTTCAGAAGGCACGTTAAGCCGTTGGTCCCGGCTGCATCTGCAGTCGTTAGCACCCACCAATCCGCACTGGGCCCGCGTGGTGGGTCATGGCCCAATCTCCCTATTCCATCCATAGGGAAGGCCTGTGCCCCAGCAGTGGGGACATTAATAGGCTGATGATGATGATGATCTGAAAATAACAATCGTATGAGCACGTTTTTGTGTTGTATAATATTGTTAAGAATCAGATTGATATCCTGTTTACTATATGACAGGAATAGTATATTGAATCGCGCTATCGTTTTGTTTTTATGAAAACATAAGTATTTTATGTAGAATCAATAAGTGTGCTCTCTCTTTATTCAAAATTGAAACAGGTGTTTGATTAATTTAGTTAGTTCCCCCTCCTCTTTGGGACACTAAACATTGGACCTACGTTACGTCCTCTCCAATTTTCTTCTTTGTTTTTTTTTATAGCCAGGTAGGCAAATGACTCTACCCCAAGTTAGAATTAGAACAATCTTGAGAACAATGAATCTGTAATAAACAAAAATCTATTCTCCAGCATTGATTGTTCAGGTTTTTTTTTAATCATTTATTACATAATTGTGATGTAGAGGATTCGATAGTTGGTAGAGTAGCCCCATCAGAATCCGAGGCCGCGTCGAGATGCAGCCAGGGAGGTCGAATGGATGGGAAAGACAGGGAGAGGAGAGGACGGTTTAATAATAGTGAGAGGCGAAAGAAGAGGAGAGGAAAGGAAAGGAAACAGAAAATAAATAAAAGGTCTAAAGGATGGGAGTAAGAGTGTAAGGGAATAGGTTTAACAATCTTTGTTCAGGTATTTGACTATAACTACTGAACTATGCCAACTATCCTGCAGAGTTTGGGTAGAGACACAGAACACAAAAAGATGCTCATAACTTGACCAAAACTTGGTTATGATTGTCTCGTTGCTCTCGGCAATGAGCGGTGATTGGTTCGATTGTTTAATGTTGCTTTGTTTCATTGGCTATTACGAGTACCTATTAGACGGAAGAGTAGTGGGGGCGAGCCGGCAACATCAGTTCCGGTACAAACGGTCTATGATCACCCTTCTAACCTCTTTCTGTGGTCTGTGGATAGAGTTGTAAGTTATCTTAAAAG